ATATATATTATTATATTCAAATGTCATGTAAATAAAATGATTAGTAAAATTTAAAATTTAGGAAAAATATAAAAAATAAAAAAGAACTCTAAAATTCCAACAAAAGTCGAAAAAGAATGTAAGATTAATCTTCTTGTATTAATCTAGAAGAAAAAGAACAATTGAAAAAGAAAATATTGAAGTTTGTTGAGGTTATATCATATATTTTTTAATACATATATTCAAAATTCAAGTATCGAACCATTATAGCCATCAAAACTTTATAACTGCTGTCAAAAACAAATCCCCAATCCCATTGAAAAAATTTAAGAGAAATATAGAAGAAAAAAATAAAAATAAAATAAACTCTAAAATCCCAACAAAAGTCAAGAATAATACTTAAATTAGTATTCTCATAGTAAACCTGAAAAATGATCTTATTGAATAATAAAGTTTATAAAATGAAAGAACAAATCAATTAATGAACAAAGAAAATAAACCTGAATTTTTCATCTATATATTTAAAACATTAAATTGATTAAGATAATGTTGTTTTGATAATTTTAAAAAGTTTAACCTTCGACCTTTCATTTTCATTCTTGGATAAAACAACCTTATCCTGATGAATTTCATATTTTAAATATAGGAATGAAAAATCTTTTACATATACCAAATATTTTAAAAAATCAAAAATCCAAGAAAAAAAATGGGTTTTTAATGTTTAGAGGATAACACCTCATTATGTTTGGTTTATTCTTTAAGAATTAAAAATGTTAGAAAATAATTTTCAAGCTCAATGTTAAAGAAGAAAAAAATCACAATAGACCAATCAACATCAACAAAAACCCATATTATATTTATTTTCTTGAATGATGCCTCAAATCAATAAAAAAAAAACAAATCATATCCACAAAAACTGAATAAAGAAGAAGAATTGAGAGATTAAGAGAGATTATTATGCTAAACAATGTTACCTTATTTCATCGAAGATTAATATGTCACTTTATCCAGAGACTAAAAAAAATTATATGCCTACATAATTCCAACTTTAGTGTGAATTCTCCAATTAAAAGATGAAATATTATACTTACATAAGCAAAAACTCATAACATAATTTGTCTTATTGAATGAAATATCAAATCAACAAAAACGCAAATCGTCTTCACAAAATTATAACTGAATAGTGAGGAAGAATTGAGAGATTAATAGAGAGATTCATATGCTTGCATAATTCCAATTTTAGTGTGAAAATAATATACTTACATTAACAAAAACTCATATCATATTTCTCTTCTTGAATAACGTCTCAAATAAACAAAAATGCAAAACACCTCCAAAAAAACTGAATAGAGAGGAAGAATTGAGAGGTTAAAAGAGATATTATGCTAAAACAATATTAAACTGTTTCTTCAATGATTCATATGCCACTTTATCCACACAAAAAGAAATCCATATGCTTACATAATTCCAACTATAATGTGAATGTCTCCGACTAAAAAAAATACTATACTTACATAAACAAAAACTCATACCATAATTTATCTTATTGAATGACACCTCAAAAAAACAAATAGCATCTACAAATTTATAACTGAATAGAGAAAAAAAATAGAGAGATTATCATAGAGGTGTACCACAAAATTATACATGAATAGAGAGAAAGAATTGAAAGATTATTATAGAGGTGTACCATGAAGAGAAGATGAAAATTTGTAACCAAATAAAGAGAAATAATGAGAGTTAAAAGAGTAATTATTAGAGGGAACATGAATAGGTTGAAACAACCTAATTAAATGATCTTAAATGTGAATATTAAAAATCAAAAACAAATATTGAGGTAGGAAAAGCTTGAAAAAAATGAGAAAAAAGATAAAGCATTTTCTTGTTTTGAGAAAATGATACATCATTACATGTGGTTTCTTCTTTAATATATATATAGATTTTATGTTATTTTGCAAGTATGTGTTTTTAAACACTTATAATTTATTTTATAATGAATTTAGACGGTTTAATATGAATTTAATAAGATTTCATTTTACGTATAATTAAAAAACAATAAATTACATGGGATTTTTTTTAAATTACATATTTGGTCTTATGGTTTACATGTTATATCATATTAAATCTTATTTTTGAAATAATGACAAATTTGAACTATTTGTTGTGTATTTTGTAACGTTTTTTATCTCTTGTTCTAACTTCGTTAAGGAAATTTTGTTAAAGTTGGTTCATTCATAGGGGCATTTTAGGGGCCGTTTATCAAATGTTTACTTAGGTAAGTATTTACCCGCAAAATTCAAAATTAAGGGGTTGTTTATTAGACACTGAACAGTCAGCAACTTTGACTCAACCAGCAGTCAGCTTGTTTACTAAACTACTGCTCTGACCGAGGACTTATTGAGACAGCAAGAAAATGATGCTTACTTGATTTCAATTTTCCATGTGTACCCCTTTTTCCGATTAAGTTTACATCGTTTGCGTCCTCCTCCTTCCCCTCGTTCATCGCTCCTAGCCTCGTCACTCCCCACCCTCCTCCCCTTTCGGCTCTGTCGCTTCTCCTCCATTGTCACTCGGCCTTCCTCCCTCCTCAGCCGCTCGTCACACCTCCTCCTTCCGCAACCACGAAGGTACATTTCTGCCCTAGTTGTTTTGATTTCGTTCCTTCTCCCTGGTAGTTTTTCATTCTTATCCTTGGTACATTTCTGCTATTTTCTTTGATGAACTTGTTTATTTGATTTCTAATGTTATAGGTCTGTGTAAAAATTATGCTAATATTTTATTATGGATCATCGAATTGAGGAATTATGGTGTGTTATTGAGGAATTTTGTTAATAATTCAATTTAGGCATCATTCAAAATTGTGTGTTCTTGAAATGATGAATGATAATAGTTATCCCTTGATTTCTGCTATATGTGTGTATGATTGTGAATTATGTGATGTTTATATTACAAATTGATGCTTTGATTTTGGTGGGTTTTGGTGAGAATGTGTGTTTGATTGTTCTAGTTTTGTAACTAGGGAACTATGATTGTTCTTAAACTTGCTTCCATTTCTGCCTTTGTTATTTGTTTACGTGTGAATCTTGAATGTGTAACTTTAATTGATGAATTGATTCAATGATTCTGGTAGGGTTTTTTTAATCAAAATATAACTATATTCCAATCCAATCTGTAATAGGGTTTTTATTGTTTTCATTTTTTCTAAAATGATTTACGGATTCATTGTTCTGCTATTGAACCTTGTTGTGGGTTTGTGTAATTTCATCTTATTCCCCACAAATCTTCAACAAAAAAATCTCTCATTTCATCAAATCTTGAAACTTGGTTTAAGTGCAAAAGATTGTCCCTCTTTTCTCTATCTTTTTGGGATAAACAAAACTGTTTCTTTTCAGCTTTTCACACCCAAAACTGCTTTTCATCTTGTTTTTATCTTTGAAAACTGTAGTGATCCTTCTTGTTCTTTCAGGAATATTGTTGAAGTGGAAATAAAAAAGACCCTCCTCCCAAGAAGAATAATCTCAAACGGGTATTGATTTT